TATATATTTGGATATTATTATTTTGTGTGCAGTAGATCTCTATGTAATGTGGTAAACACATTTTTTTTCCCAAAATTGCTCCTGTAAATCTGTCAGAAATGTTATTTTATTTGAGTCTTTGTTCTTTTCTGGTTTAGTTGAATAAAAAGCAGATAAGCTGGATGACATGTTATTACCAACCAGTGTGAACATCTCTCTCTCTGTGTAGATGACAGTGTCCCAGCTGAAAGGGAACCTGGCGAGGTGGTGGACAGCCTGGTGGGGAAACAGGTTGAGTACGCCAAAGAGGATGGTGGCAAACGAACAGGCATGGTCATCCACCAGGTGGAGGCCAAACCCTCCGTCTACTTTATCAAGTTTGATGACGACTTCCTCATTTATGTCTACGACCTGGTCAAAACTTCATAAAACTTTGCTGATGTCCTGAGACCCCAAGACACAAACAAAATGCCACACATGTCAAAACATCTGAAGTATTTGATCCGGCGCTATTTCCTTGGACCATCAAGACTGAAACAAAAACTAGAAACAAGAATTGTTGCTCTGGAAGAACACAGGATAGATACTTCTTGAGAATGGGCTTAATGAAGTTCAAGTCTTGTCTATGAATGTCTTAGACTCTTAACAGAAGAAATAAATTGGCTGTGGTTTTGTTACCCTTACAAGAACCTAAACTTTTTGAAGCCCCTTAATACCTTTCTGAAAAAAGAAAAGGTGTCCCGTTACTCTAGAAAAAGATTTTGAAATGATGAAACTTTATGAATTTTGAATCAAGACAGGCTTTTTAGAATGTCACATTCTAAACAAAAATTGGTGACCCCTTAAAATCCTTTAATGATTTCCCAAGATCACCTGGCACCAGTGAGCATGTCATTGAGAAGTGGGGTAGTAGCCAAGTCCTTTGTGCTAAAAAACAAGGAACCGAGATGAGGATGTATCACTGGAAACATTTCTGGAGTTGCTGGCAGCATGGAAATATGGACCAGACTGACAGTCTTGTTTCCCCCTTCAGCTAACAAATCAGGCCACTGAAAAACAAGCGGTCTCCCGCTGAAGAATCAAAGTCTGGAGGCAGTCGGTGGAAGGGGCTTCAGAAAGAAAGACTAGAAGAAGATGGGTCCTGAGCCAGAAAAACAAGCCCTTCTGTCACAATGGGAGTGTTTGTTTTAGAGGCTCTTTATGATGGGAGCAAAACATAGCATCGCAGTGTAGTGGATGAATCTGCAATCCTTCTCATCTGTCACATCCAGTAAGGACTGGCATCACAAGCATACGGAGGCTCGTTTCTGCCAGGAAAATAAAAACAAACTGACGGAAAATTAGACATGGAAAAAAAAAGCTCATGGCAACATAAAACGATAAAAGTAATAATTATAACTTTCTACTTTAAAATGATCAGATAGTAAGTTAAAGCAGTGAAATGTCAGAATTATGAGATGTTAAGTCCAAAGAATGTTGATCATGTTTTTATTTTTTAGTTAACTCAAGAATTTAAAAAATTAGAATGTTGTTATAAAATTATAAGCAAGCAGAATTTGTCATTGTGATTTTTGTCTTTAAAAAATGCATACTATCATTCAATTCAACGATAAAGCGTGTCCAAGCTTTGGACTGGTAGTGTAATATTGACATAAATTAAATAACTTTAAATTAATATATAAGAATTCTGACAAAGTAAGCCAACGCTTTTTACTTGTCATAATGCTAGCTTAGCAAAAGTCCCAATTTAGCATTATTATGTCAAATGTTTTACTTCTGTTATAATTTTGGCTTTAATTTTTTTTCACCAAAAAAAAAAACAACAAACTCACCAAGAAATTTGAGCTTAGTAAGTCAAAACCTTTTCTTATATTTTAATCAAAAAACAACTAACGTCATGAAATATTATGTTTGTTATTCTCTACATGTCATCTTATTTTGTTTCCCTGATGGAAATGGGCTTCCATACAACTGAGATCCACAACAAGCAGCCAAAGGAACAGGTTTAAAAAGTCAAAAAGTTTGTTCGAGAGGTTATCTTTGAAAGAGGAGCTATTGAAATTATTAAAAATGTCTTTGGAAATATCGGAAAACTTAAATGCAAGAATGATTAAATAACTGATTGATTGAACTGGGATTCTGTTCAGCAAAACAAAGCAGTGTTTTTACACACATTTCACACCAACTTCAATTTTGACAGCACTGGGTCAACAGATCCTCATCTAAAGACATCTGCAGCTAAAAACTGATTTATTCTTCTTTTTGCTTTTGTCATTGCCAAAATTCCTTCCTGTTGTGAGGTTGTTTGATGTTGCAGATGACTGGACAGTTTTCTTGTGATTTCACTAAAGCCTTTGGAATTACTCGTATTGTCTTTTCAAAGTCATCGGTGAAGGAGTAAAAGGATGGAGAAACAAAAGTGGAACTCGGCCAGTGCTCTTTCTGTGCTTGGCGGTTTGTTTTAATGATACACGGTTTGTTATAAACACCCAGCTCTGCAGTTTTTTGGTTTCATCGTCCTCCGTTTGAACTTTGAACAAAGTGATGAATTCTAAATGTCACAGTTCATTCAAACACAAAGGATCTGAGAAGCTGAAAATGCAGTTTAATGCACCTTAAAATTCCAGGGAAGAGATAAAATATTCCCTGGACAGTTCGAGTGTTGGAATTTTAATGTCGCCGGAACTAACGAAGAAAACAAACCTGTAGTGATTCACTTCTCAGTTTTGAAGGCAGGTCAAGGCACTCAAGATTTTAGTTTTAACAGTTCAGTCATTGAAACGCTAGAAGCCTGTATTCCTGTTCACTCCTGTGTCTTGATTGATAAAATTATCACAGCAAAAGTACCCCAGATTGTATTCACATACAAACCAAAAGATTACAGGCTCCTTGTGGTGTGGATTTGATGTTCTCCTGGCCATCTGAGGAAAACCCAGTTTTCTATTGGATACCGGTGAAGACAGTCCAGTCTTTTCCACAACATGTGTGCAGTAAGAGAGGACAGCCAAGTGTGTCTATATGAGCAGATTAACTACTGGTGAAGGGTTAACTTTCATTTTTCACATATGTACTTTTTATTTCACTTGGATTTACTCAAGACTGAAGGTTTTTCATAAACTCAAGTAGTTTGGGGACAAGTATGTAAATGAAGTTTGCCATTTAAAAATACTGTAACGTTCAAATCAAGCTGTTCTTATTGGCCAGTGACTGATATCTCAAATAGAGTTGAACTTTCAGTTCTCTTTTACATTTTTAGATTGGAAAAAATCCGCAAAGGGCATTCACAGTAAAAGCTCATCAAGCATGATGGCAGTTTGAGAGCATAAGGGTTCATTCACTATGGGGGAAATGCATCTTGAATTCATCAGTGTCTGAGTCACTGCAATAGAGAACAGAGTTGTGTATGTAAAACCTTCAGCCTGTGTGCTTCCTGTGATGTAGTTAGCCGCTGAGGCAGATCACAACTCTTACTATAACAGTTCAAAAAAAACAAAAAAAAAAACAACAAACTCACCAAGAGATCTGTAGGTTTCTGCACTTGTGTAGCTATTGTTTTTCATTAAAGAGAAATCTGATTGTGATCATCTCAACAGGCACTGTTTTAATTAGTTAACAAAAAAAACAAAGATTTACAGCAAGATTATGTCCAATTCACTCAGTTCATTTTGCAACTGTAATAAAAACAGAATATTGTTGTTAATGTTGGAATGACATTGGCTTTCTATCATCCTTCTGCCTTGTATTGTTTGTTTTGGTATGTTTAAAATGTATGTTAATAATTTTTATTGTTAATGGAAAACCTGATGTGGCGTCCTTTGTTTTCTTTCCACCATTTTTTAGGTATATGACGTCTGAGACTGCTAATAATGAAACTTAAGGAATCTTAGTCAAAAACATTTGTGTTAAAATTAGCTAATGTTATTGTATTTTATAAACAAAATATAAATTTAAAATATCAGACTAAAGAAGATTTGGGTTACTCCCAAATTTCAGAACTTTGGTTGAGCAACCTTACACAAACACCGTGAAGGGTCCATCCATCTTGGTGCTGGGATGTGCATTCACAACAGGCAAAAGTACAATAGTCTGGGAATTCAGCATATACAGATGAAATGAGAACACCATCTGTGCATTAAATACAAAAAAAAAGTACAGAAAACCAAATCCCGTGTGCATTAACTCTATCTGATGCTGCACAACCAGTACACTTTACTTAATGAGCTTCAGAGGTGTCGGTAGGGATATGTTTATACTTGGCACAGAACCAGTGTGGCTGTTTCCTTCTGCTTCCAGTTTTTATACTGAGCTAGGCTAACTACATCCTGATTCAAGCTGTGTACTACACATTGATACAAACTGAATATTGGAACTTGTCTCCCTCAGGAAAAGCGAATAAGTGGATTTCCCAGTATTAATAATGTTTGTTAAAAAAATGAATATTTATATATAGTCTTTTTTTAACTCTCAAATATAGAAAACCCCTGTATTGGTCTTTACTTGTACATCTTAGAAACGTTATACAGTGGGCACGGAAAGTATTCAGACCCCATTAAATGTTTCACTCTTTGTTATATTGCAGCCATATGCTAAAATCATTTAAGTTCATTTTTCCCTCATTAATGTACACACAGCA